TTAGATTTAACAGAACCAAACCAACTGCCCGAAATTTTGTTAATCCCCTCGTACACAAATGGAAGTAATTGGATTATTTTGTACGGAAAACCGCATGAATATTTATACTATATAGGATTGTTCATTTCGTGGTTTCAAAAACAAATTACTGTATCTTAATATCTGTCAAACATAACTGTCAAACCAAACATGTTTTGTTTTAGTAAAGAGTTAGGAATGAAATTATGAAAATGAATCGCCTATCAACTGCGCAATGCGTTCAAATTGTTAAAACCTACAACGAAAATCTTGATTCAAACGTTTCCTCGTGCTTTAAGAGGAGATCATGGTGCACACATCATCCAAGTACCCAATCAAATGGTAAAATTTTTAAAAAATTTGAAGAGGCTGCATCGTTTATAGCTATTGTAAGGCCTTTGTATCAACGTTTTGCTCGTTCCACCTCAAATATCGCTAACCGAATTTGTCTATTTCTCGACGTTCTCAAGAGCTTATGACGTATTTTGCACTGGGACTTACACCTACATCCATATAAAGTCCAGCTGACCATTCACAAAGCTCCGTTCATGCATCGATTGGGAACTTGAACAACGAGCAGCAAACGCAGATTTTCAGAACAAAATTTGCTTTAGCTACGAGACTCATTTCTCACTCCAAAATTGTCGCATCTGAGCTTCCGAGATTCCTCAAATAATTGAAGAGGGACGATTTCACTTAATCTCTGTTGCGCTCTTTAGTCCAGAGGTGTCATTAGATCTCACTTCTTTGAAAACGACAACAACTTTTTTGACCTGTAATTGAAGAATGCGACTTGAAAAAGATGAAATTTCAACAAGAGAGAGCTAAACCCCCACATTTGAGTGATTGTGGCTGGAATAGCGGCGCAAATCTCGTTTTGGTGATGTCAATTGGACACCGAGTTCGTGCGATTTGACACCGTTGGACTTGTTTTTTTAAGGGTCTACGCGAGTCGTGATTGTGCGAATAAACATTTTTAACTCTTGAGCACTTGAAAACCAACACTCCTCAACTTACGTCTGAGATACCGCCCAATATGTGAAAAAAGTGGTCGAAAATTACCTCACAGGGATCGAATTTCGAAAAAAATTCACGAGCTGATCATTTGAATGATCTAAGGCCTCTCACATAATGTCAAGAGTCAAATTTTTTAATAAAAAAGGATTTTCGTGCAAGAAATTGTTTTAAATGCATTTTATTTACCTTTATTATCGAAACTGCCAAGTGGATAACCCTGTACATATGTAAAAAGTAAATGCGTAAGTTTGTACTCGTGCGTTGCAAAAATTACATTTTCATACACACATTTACATATTTCCACATGCTGGCACACGTATGAGTTTGTATTTTACAAGGATTTTCAATCAATAAAAAATATAAATCATTGAAATGTCAAAATTAATGACATTCTTGAACAGGCATTTGTTGAAATTACCGCGAATTTGGCACCAACATATGCACATATTTACATAGATATATTACATATGTACAAACATCCAACATACGCTCTTGTATGTGCGCTTATATAATAATTTTTCTGAAAAGTTGTAAGTTTTGTTAGCATAATTTACGACTATTAATGCGGGTGTTTGTGTGGCAACTGGTCGCAAACAAGCAAATTTTCAGACACATACATACATATGAAGGCAGATTACTCTCTGTACTTTTGCTAGGATTTCCTCCTAACTGGCGAATATCCCAACTTAGAAATTCTAGGCGGGTAGGCCAACACCTCCATCTCCAAACAAGGCCATTGCCTCACCCAATTATCATTGGCTCTTCGGCATGCAGAAACGTAACATTCGTGAAATGTATGCCACACCGCCGCTGGCGCTTTCATCTTCATTTTTACGCCTTTATCCTTCAATTCTAGTATCGCTGGGTGGGTGAGCAGTGAAAGGATTTTATAAGACTCCAAGGCTAAAGGTTGTGCTGCGCACTCAGTTCTATGAATGAATTACAAATTAATGCGTTCTTTACTCTTCTTTTTTGATGTTCTACTGTCTTTTTCACTCTTTTATTTTTGGACTCATATCTGTTATTCGCTACCTAATTAAAACTCAAATAAACTAATTAAGCAGTGTCGGTTTTATTTGCCTGAAGTACACAGAAATATGACTAATTGAAATTATGAAAAAAATCTTATGTATGTACTTGTGATAAATGGGAAAAGGAAACAAACAAATAATAAAAAAATTCAATAAAGTAAAAAAGAAATGAAATAAAAAATAAAATTAAATAAAACCAAATAATTTACAAAATTAGAAATAAAAAAATAAGATTATTAAAAAAAAAGAATAAAGTAAACTAGTCAAATAATTAAAATAAAGTAAAAAACTCCACGTCACACTGATAGGACGTGTTATTCAATTTACCCTGAAGATGGTTACCGAAGAATAGTCGAAATATATCGGGAGAAAACATTACCAACATCGGACCTCACGCCGGGGGCCTTTTTGAATTTAAAACTAAATTAAACTGAATTACTTACAAAAAAAATAATAAAAAATATTAAATAAAAAAAAATTAAATAAAAAAAAATAAATAAATAAAAAAATATANAAATAAGATAAAATAATATAAAATAAAAAAAGGAAATTAAATAAAGGTGAAAAAAATATAAAAATTAAACAAAAAATTAATATTTAATAAAAATTAAAATAAAATAAACAATATAAAAGTGAAAAGAAAAATTATTACAAAAATTAAAAATATATACAAATTTTAATTAAAGCAAAATAAAAAAAAATTAAATTAATTTTTTTTTTGTTGGGGAGGAGAAAAAATGCCTATCGTATCGTCATTGTGTCGTCACATAAATTGTTTGTGCTACTGGTAGGTCACTAAAACTCTCTCCCACTACTTGAAGGTGGCGTTCCGTGATATCTTTTACATTTTCCCAGCTTCTTTCGCTTTCGAGAAGACTGAGACAAAGTTTTATGCTTTTAGTGTTCCCACCGTGCGTTTAGCGGCAGAGCTTACTACGCTCAGCCTGCCCGCGTGCGCATTTGAAGAATATGTGTTCGGCCTCATCTTCGCACGCACCATTAAAGATATATCGCAGCTCCTCAGCTTGTCCTATTTTTTTTTTGTAAATATTCCTGAGAATATCTTCGCCCGGATAGCATAGGTATGACATAGTAATCTACCTCTTCGATTTTCCGTTTAGTCCATCCATCGGGTGTGCCAATGGGTCAGGATTTCCTTTCGTATGTCCTCTCTTGCGGTATTGATGACGCTTCCTTGGGCCCTAATTTTTTCAGTGTTCAGTTAAGTTTTCCTCTCGGATGCCGAGATGTCGATGGGAATGCTGATACGGTACGGTATGCCGATATTAATCTAAAAGCTGCTGTGCAATGCACTGTAGACATCATCTTTCGTTGGCCAGCCTGCTTTAGTGAGTCAGTCCACAGCTCTGCTCCATATAGCAAAATGCCAGCAGTTGTCGACATCAATAGCTTCGTGTTTTTCCTTGGAAATTTATGATATTAGCCATCCATCTGCTGAGCTGCGAAGTGGTTCCAGCGGCATTTTCCGTGGCGTGTTGGATTTTCACCCAGAAATTTAGTCTGGGATCCAGTCTTGACACTTTTTGTCGTTGTCGTACTTCCACGTTCGTAGCATATAAAAAAATTAAATAAATAAAAAATAAAACAAATGTAAAATACGAGTATAAAATAAACAAAATATAAAATAAAGTAGTAAAAAGAGAATCAAATTGAAAAAATTAAATTAAAAAAATTAATAAATTCAAAAAAATAAAGAAAATAGAATAGAATGAACAAGATACAATAATAAATTGAAGTAGAACATTAATTTTAAATAAAATTATACTAATTTACACTGCTGAAAGTAAACTATTTTACATTTCAATCTTAACAGTTCGCATGAAAATAATAAAACCTGCCTGAACTTTGCAATAAATATTTTTCAAAATTGTTGCTTTTGATTTTCTAATGCTAAATTTAGACTTTCAGGTTGAGTTCCTTTGATGAATTTCTTAAAAACTTTAGCGAGAATTTCAAATAGATGTCTTACACTTTGTCTGTTTTGATTGTCTACATATTCACATAAATTATTTTCCAATGTCAATGTCCACAGACATATTTATTTGTTTTTCCAATACTTTTTACTACTATGCATAAATGCATTTGAATACATTTGGGTATTAATAAAAATAGTTATTCTTCTTTGTCATTTCCAACCATTTCTACCAGTTAAGCATTACATGCATACGTGTACATTTGTACCTACTTAATTCTATGACAAGTCAATGGCTCTTTGTGTAAACAGAAAATGTTCTATAATGCTTCTTCGTTTGTGTTTGTATGTATGTATGTATGTAGTGACGTTGGAAATGTGCGGAAGGCAGCATTCATGTTTACTAGCGACATACCTATATATATATCAGTATGTAATTGTATGCAAACTATTCTCTCCTGACTGCATATGAATGAGCTGCAATTCAACACAAAGCGGAGTTGGGTGGGTTGACATGGCGTATGAGTAACCTTTTAATGTAAAATGTGAGAACATATGCAAATCAAATGTGAGCAACTTGAGCAGTTTAATAGAACTTTAAGAAAATACATATTTCAACTTTCGTAGTGCAAATGAAATTAAAAATTATCAGACTCCAAGGACTAAGAACATCTGTTAATGCTAATGTTAAGTAAAAAATATTGTGTAGCTGAGTATTATTTAAAAATAATTTTTCTATAAAGTTTAGTTTTATTATTTTTAAGTAAGTATTTTTGTATTTACAAGCTAATATTCACCTTCACTGAATTGAAAAAGTGTTCTCTTTAATATTTTTCATATTTCTCGTTATTATCATTTTACTTGCCATTATACTGATTAATGCCTTTACATATTCATGTAAAAACATATAAAATTTCATGAATGCTACCCATCATCACTTGTCATATTACTGTTCTTACTCTTACTACTATTTTTACTATTATTATTTTCTTATATTACAGCCTGCACACAAAATCCAGTCCGGTCAAGGTGCACCGACGATCTCGTTGCAGTTTGTGCCAAAAATGCTTGCGCCATTGGCAAGTCTCTGGGTGCCTCATGCATTTGTTGTCTCATTCAAATTAGAAACTGACGAGAATTTATTGATTACCAAGGCGCGGGATAGTCTTTACAAATACAATCATACGGTGAGTATATGTGCACTTTTGCACTTGAATTATGAATGGGGCAAACAAACAAGCATACAAACATACTCATTTGTAGTTATTTATAATTATTAGGGTTGCGCAGAAAACTTTTTCGTAAAAAAATTAAAAAAGTACAATAATAAAAATAGTAAAAAAAATTAAAGTAAATTAAAAAAAGACAATAAAAATATAAAAAGTTAGATTATTATATTATTATAATAATATAAAAATAAATATTAAAATATAATATTAAAACAAAAATACTTTGAAGAAGAAAAAAGGAAAATAAATAAAATAAGGAAAATAAGTAAAAATATAAAAAGAAAAATAAATTCAGAGGAAAATAATTAGTAAAAAATTAAAAGTAAAATAATTACAAAAAAACTAAAAGGAAAGTAATAATAATTAATTTAAAGAAAAAAAAATTTAATAAAATATTGATAGGAAAATAATTAATAAAAAATTCATAAATGAAAAAAGAGTATAAATAATAAAGAAAATAAAATAAATAAAAATAAAAAAAAAATAAGTAAAAATAAAACAAAATAAATAAAAAAATTAAAGAAAAGAAAACAAGCAAAAATACAATTAAATTAAATAAAAAAAGAAAATATATAAAACAGGAAAATAAATGAAAAACGAAATAAAAAGAAAATTAAAGGCAAATGGCAAATAAAATTAAAATAATAAGGAAAATAAATAAAAAAGGGAATTAAATAAAAAGATAGAAAGAAAAATAATAAAATTAAATCAAAAGGAAAATATAATAAATAAAAATAAACTTAACGGAAAATAAATAAAAATAACTTAATCGAAAATAAATTAATAGAAAAATAAAAAGATGATAATAAAATAAAAAGGGAAAAATAAAAACACGGAAAATTAAATAAAACAAACCACAAAAGGAAATAAAAAAGCAGTTAATAAAAGAACTAAAAAGTAAAGTGACTTTACAAAAAAAACTAATAAAAAATAGAAACTAATAAAAAATAGAAACTAATAAAAAAAGAAAATAATAAAAAATAGAAAATAATAAAAAATAGAAAATAATAAAAAATAAAAAGTAAAAATAATGGAAAATTATAAAAAATAATAAATAATGAAAGAATAAAAAAATAATAAGTAATGAAAAAATAAAAAAAATAAAAAATAGTTAGAAAATAATAAAAAATAATAAAAAACTAATAAAAAACTAATAAAAAACTAATAAAAAAAATATAAAAAGAAAAAATAATAATAAAAAGAAATAAAAAATAATGAAATAATAAAAAATGATAAAAAAAGTAAAAATAATAATAAAAAGAGTAAAATGTAATAAAAATATATAATATTAAAAATTGAAAAAAAACGTCGAAAAAATCAAAACATAATGAAAAATAATAAAATAAAAAAAAATAAAAAAAATTAAAAAAAATAATGCAATAAAAAATTAAGTGAAAAAGGAAAAGAAATAATAATAATCGGAAGACAGGTGAATTTTAAATGATCTGGCGGTAGCAATAATGTTAGACAATATCAAATCAGAGAGTATCCCTATCTTTCTATCCTATTTATTTTGGACTACCCTAGTGTGCTCATATTTTATATATATAACTATGTAACGTATTGCACTTTCTGTTAATATACTATTGTTTGTATTCATACCAATAATTCATCCTTCATTTCCATCATTTGCATTTTCACAGTTAACTTTAAGAATATTCCACCAGTCAAACAAACACGCACACACACATGCCGCAGCACAAAAAGTAAAAAACTTAAAAAACCAAACACAAAATGTTTAAACGAGTATATGTTGTGCAATTTAAAATATCAATATTTGCATTTGTGGTCTGAACTCTATTGGCCCGGTCTGTTGGCCTGCTGGTAATGACAATGGTCGCGTAGCATGAAAACCAATTCGAATGACACGCCAGCCCTTTTACGGCGTAAACATGCTGTTGATTTGTTGTTGTTGTTGTTATATTTTTAAGTTATTACAACCATTTATAGTTGTGTGCTGTTGTTGTATGTACGTGCATATGTATGTATGTATATAAGTGCATTCGTTGTTGATATTTTCGTTTAAGCAAACATAAAATTTAATTGGTGGATAAATTGATTTTTAAGTGATTTTTTACCATATGCAAATGTAGTTAAAATAACGAAAGCCCTTCACACCACGGTAAATATATGTATTTCGAAGGTCCTCGAGGTCTTCTTAGTTGAAATTCAGATTTTTTTTAATTCGTATCAGATTGTTGATTCTGGCTCTTATATTGTTCACGAGAGATGTTACCATGTCTGTCATAGAATTACAGGTCAGCCTAGATATGTCTTCTTGAAGTCTTATTGTATCGACTACCAACGATCTTTGACAAATTTCCTTGCAGACCAGTGCAAAGTTCGTTGATCCACACATACGAGTATATGTTATGCTATGCGGTCGCCTGTTTCCTCTGGATTTCTGTAGCGCCAGCTGTGGTGACATTTATTCCGTCCTAACTTTACTGATGATATTTATTTTCCCGTTGAATTCATCGTTGGTGCCTTGTCTATATAGTGTGTGTTGTCGCTGGCTTGTAGCTTGAATGATCTTCTAGGAATTTGTTTTTCAGATTTGGGCTTAGCTGTCCTTTGGGTTAATCCCTTTAGCCAGTAACTGGTTTTCGTGCTTCACATCTATCAGCTCTGACTTCCACGCTTCGCGTTTCTCATACTTCGATTTGTTATCTTTATAATATATTTTTATGCGGAGCTTTTATTTCATGTTAGAAATACACTCGTAGAGTTTGACATTCCCTGCCCTTAGGCGAGCACAAGTGATTTTCCAATTAAATTAATTTTCTTTAATTTTCAATGTTGCTAAGGGTAAAAATTTAAACTCATGACCGTCCACATGATGGTACATAATGCCAACTATTCGGCTATTGCGTCCGCAAGGTATTTGCTTGATAAAAATTTTTTTTCTGTGAGTATGACTGGATCCTTTAGGCTACGTGACCATGCCATGGGGTTTCCTCTTCAGTCGTTGCTGCCTTAAGAAGTCATTCAGCTTCATTGCTTCTTGGTTGGTAGGACCTTTTAGAACAGCATGAGGATCGACCTTGACAGCGTTCGGCCATTTGCCTCAGCGCAAGATCTTACCCTGTACTGCATGCAAATTGACTAATTACGAAAAAGTTTTACAAATCCAATAGTGCTAGAGGACCACCGGGCAGAGTTGCAAAGAACCTAAGAAATAAATGTTCAATGGTGACTGGTTCCGAGGCGGCATAGTGTTTTCAATATCATCCTAAAATCAAGCGTCGAAGTATCGTTTGGAAGCAACGAGAGTTTCTGAATGGAAAAATTCAAACATATTCAAAAACTCTCCTTGTGGTGTGTTTTGTCGTGATGTTATGAGGCATGAGAATGAGGGCCAGTGCCAGATACAATTTACGCTGTTCCAGAAGAACATTGTGAAGACAATTTATCAAGCGAAACTTTGTTTCGTGGCAGGGAGACTGTTATGAAAATGGGAATATTGATATAAAACCAAAAAAAAAATTTTTTTTTTTTTGGGTAGTCTTGTTTTCCGTGGAACAATTAGGTTTAAGTATTATACATATTTTGCAAAAATAACGTGTTCTCTGATACAGTTTTAGTTCGTTCAAATTTGAGCTGACCATGAGATATGGACAATAAGTGGCACATGAAGCCAATGCTCGACAATGTAATCAGGGCAGGAAGCCAACCAGCGCTCACCTCAATTCAAAGAAAATTTAATCTTCCTACAGGCTGTTTCCTGCAATCGGTGAACGTTGGCTCTTCAGCGGTATGGTACTCGTTTTTGTACAATTCAATACAATTTATCTAGACAAATCTCGAACGAAAGTGTCATTTAACCTTCGAATAAGTAATTACCGAGTGGCTACTGTATTTATACTAAAACAAAAGATGAACAACGATAGAGTCAAAGGATCTGCGGTAGCAGCCACAGTGCTAATGCTTCAGGCCACACAAATATTTTAGTTAAAAGTCTAATTTTTAAAAAATGCTAATCTATCGAGTCTGTGCCTTGTGAATGTGGCTAATGACGGTTTTATTAAGTAGTAAGCACATTTAAATATATCTACTGTTAATATAGTAATTTGGTGGCGGTTTCTAGGGTTAAATTACGTGCATGTGAAATGCGATACAAAGCAAATATTTTCATTTTCAAATTGTCACAAAGGTCTAGTGCGATTTCAATACCACAAATATCGTTGTACGGTTATTCTGTGTTATACCTTTCATGCACGTAAATTGGTATAGTAGTAGTATGTAAGTATCAGGGAGGAGAAGAGTTAGATCAATCAGAACTTAAACCGATCGCATCAGAACGGCGTGTGAGTTGATTTAATAGTTTGTACGCAAACTAGACCGTCATTCTTTGGTACACAGCGGAACTTGCAAATTTAAAATATCATTTGTCAAAACCGGCCCGATCGGACCACTAATAGATATATATACGGTTGGCATATCAGAAGGATGTATGAAACGATTTTGAAAGACTATTTGGGCCTACGAAAAGTCAAATCTCGTTCGGTTCCAAAAACACTCAATTTCATGGAAAAAAATCGTCGCGTTGATGTTTGTGAAACCGTGCTTTCTGACTACCTGGAGAAGCTGAAAGGCGTGATTACAAGAGATGAGACGTGGACTTAGCACCATGTGACTTCTGGCTCTTCCAAAAACTCAAGATACCACTTCGAGGTCACCGTTTTGAGTCGATTGAGGAGATTAAACGCGAATCGGCGCGCTCTCTGAAGGCTATACCAGAACGTGACTATTTGACTTGACATGCTTCGATAGTTGGAAAAAGCGTTGGCCTAAATGCATTGCCTCGCAGGGCACTATTTTGAAGGCGACGAGATCGATGTAGAAGAATCAGTAAAGATTTTTAGTTTCATAAACAAATTCACCTTACTTTTTGCTCACAGTAGTATATAATTGACGCTTTGTAACCGCTGAAGCGAATTTCGGCCGAACTTCTCCTC